GTGATTGGTTCAGGGGAGGGCACAGGCACCAAGCCAGGCCCAGCAGCGTCCTCCCCCAATTCTCCTGCCAGAGCCAGTGGGAACAAGCTTCTCTTTTCTCGGAAGGTGACTGAGCCTCCTGACCACGGAGGGGGCCAGCCCCGGGGAGCCGAGTCGGAACGGCAGAGCCCTGAGGACCAGGGTGAGCCCTGGCCCTGGCCCGGCCCAGCCCACACCCGGTCGTTGTGCTGGTTGACTCATCTCTTTGCTTAATCTGGTTTGAGTTAGGTTTCTGTTCCGTCTGACGGCTGGTTCACCCTTGTGGTCTCAGGGTCTAGCAGTGCCTGGTACATAGTGGATGTTCAAAAAATGTTTGTTGAGGCCGGGCACGGTGGTTCACGCCTGTAAGCCCAGCATTTTGGGAGACTGAGGAGGGAGGATTGCCTGAGGTCAGGAGTTCGAGACCAGTGTGGCCAACATGGTGAAACCCCAACTGTACTAAAAATACAAAAATTAGCTGCGCATGGTGGTGCGTGCCTGTAATCCCAGCTACTCAGGAGGCTGAGACAGGAGAATTGCTTGAACCCAGGAGGCGGAGGTTGCAGCGAGTCGAGATTGCGCCACTGCATTCCAGCCTGGGTGACAGAGGAAGACTCCATCTATTTTTTTTTTTTTTTTTGAGACGGAGTCTCGCTCTGTCGCCCAGGCTGGAGTGCAGTGGCCGGATCTCAGCTCACTGCAAGGTCCGCCTCCCGGGTTTTTACGCCATTCTCCTGCCTCAGCCTCCCGAGTAGCTGGGACTACAGGCGCCCGCCACCTCGCCCGGCTAGTTTTTTGTATTTTTAGTAGAGACGGGGTTTCACCATGTTAGCCAGGATGGTCTCGATCTCCTGACCTTGTGATCCGCCCGTCTCGGCCTCCCAAAGTGCTGGGATTACAGGCTTGAGCCACCGCGCCCGGCCGACTCCATCTAAAAAAAGAATTTTTTTATTGAAAGCATGAGTGAGACCGGGCATGGTGGCTCATGCCTGTAATCCCAGCACTTTGGGAGTCTGAGGCGGGCAGATCACCTGAGGTCAGGGGTATGAGACCAGCCTTGCCAACGTGGCAAAACCCCGTCTCTCCTAAAATACAAAAATTAGCTGGGCATGGTGGTGCATGCCTGTAATCCCAGCTACTTGGGAGGCTGAGGCAGGAGAATCACCTGAACCAGGAGGCAGAGATTGCAGTGAGCCGAGATTGCACCACTGCACTCCAGCCTGGGTGACAGAGTGAGAATACATCTCAAAAAAAAAAAAAGGAAAGAAAGAAAGTATGAATGAGCACATTTTGAGGTCACCCTGGCAACTAGATTGCCCTCTGCAGTGGGCCCTAGTTGCTCACAACCACCCCCCAGCACCCCCACCATGCCTGCCTCGGCTTTTGTTCTTATTACGTCTGTCTAGGAGGCATCCTCCTTCTCTCTTTTAGGGACTGGTTTAATTGGTTCTTTGAGAATCCCCTGATTACTGGGATCTAAATCTACAATCTCACTCCTCTGAATTAGTTGCTTTCATGACGTGGGGACAGTTCCCGTTGCACCTACAGAAAGTGGCAGCTCCTGGGCCGGGCAAGGTGGCTCATGCCCATAATCCCAGCACTTTGAGAGACCAAAGTGGGCGGATCACCTGAGGTTAAGAGTTCAAGACCAGCCTGGCCAATATGGGGAAACCCCATCTCTACTAAAAAATACAAAACCTTTGCTGGTCATGGTACTGGGCACCTGTAATCCCAGCTACTCAGGAGGCTGAGGCAGAAGAATTGCTTGAACCTGGGAGATGTAGGCTGCAGTGAGCCGAGATGGTGTCCCACTGCACTCCAGCCTGGGTGACAGAGTGAGACTCCATCCAAAAAAAGAAAAAAAGAAAGTGGCAGCTCCTGGAGGAAGCAGGTATGCACACCGGGCTCATCTTTGTGTCCACTTGTGGCCTGGCATCACCCTTCCTCATGTGAGCCTTCTGCAGCGCGGGGCGGGGCTGGTGACATGGGTCCCTGATGCATGCCAGGTGTGCTGTGGTAGACAGTGAGCACGTACACCCTAAAGCAGGCAGTTTTGCTGCCTGGGGTCCTGAAGAAATGAGGGCCCTAGATTTTCCCAGAGAAGCAGAAATCCAGATTTTAACGCAAAATCTTTTTTTTTTGAGATGGAGTCTTGCTCTTGTCACCCAGGCTGGAGTGCAGTGGTGTGATCTTGGTTCACTGCAACCTCTGCCTCCCAGGTTCAAGCAATTCTCCTGTCTCAGCCTCCTGAGTAGTTGGGATTACAGGCCTGCACCACTATGTCCAGTTAATTTTTTTGTATTTTTAGTAGAGACCAGGTTTCACCACGTTGGCCAGGCTGGTCTCAAACTCCTGAGCTCAAGTGATCCACCCACTTTGGCCTCCCAAAGTGCAGCTATGAGCCACTCCACCCGGCTGTAAGATCTATTTTTTAAATGCTAGCGATTAGTTTACAATTGGAGAAGCACTATGTAGGTCAAACAACCCATCAGCTGGCTGGCTGCGGCCCCAGGGCTCCCATTTGGAGACTCTGCTGGGAACCAGGAAGGACGAGTGAACCATCCGTGGCCAGGGCCGCACATGAAAGCGTGCGGGTGAGAGCTGCTGAGAGCACTCGGCTAAGGGCGGGGCCAGAGCGGACATCCAGCTGGGGCATCACTCACCAGGTCACACCACCGGGTGCTGCACAGGGTCTAGCCAAAGGGTGGGCTAACGGCTTCCGAAGCAGATGGCTGCGCCATCGCTGCACTCAAGGCTGGGCCTTGCTAATGCTTTCCCAGATGCATATCTTCACAGACAAGAGTAACCACCATGTAAAGAGACCTGGATCTAAGGTGAGCAACTCATCCTAGTTTTCCTGGGGTTTTCCAGTTTTAAATATGAAAGTCCTACAACCCAGAAACCCCCTTAGTCTGAGGCAAACCGGGACAGTCGGTTTGCTTAGACTCCTGCTCCCTCTGCACCCCCAGCTCATTGGAGGATAATGATAATGGCAGCCACCATGTGTGGGCTTATCAAGTGCCAGACACCATGCATTATGGCCTGCATCGCTTCCCTTCTGTCTTATAACAGCATCACGGTATGGATTTATTCTCTCTTTTCTACAGCTAAGTAGGCTGAGAGTGACGTGATTCGCCCAGGGCAAGTGCTGGCGCTGGGGTTTGAACCCACATGGCTTGACTCAGCACTGTCAATGGTACAGCCTCTTGTGCCTCTCAGCCTGAGCCTGCTGGGCCAGCCTAGGCCCCAGGGAAGGCTCCTCAGGAGCTTACCTGGGTGGAGGTTCAGTAGGGATGGGTTTTTGCAGGTCTGAGATACCCCCTACCACACTGCCTCCAGCTCTGCCCAGGCTCTTCTGTGTCTGCACATTTGCCCCCAACTCCTGAATGGACAGCCTGAGAAACCCTCAGGAGACATTGTTTCCACCACACCCTAAGCCCTCCTGTCCTGTCACTGTTTTGTTGCTCACTGCATCCCAAGGGAGGAGGCTGGTGCTTAGAAATAAACGCTCGCTGGTGATTTATTGCATGGGCTGGGGGAACTGTCCAGAGCAAGAATGGGCAAGGGAGCAGGGTGTGAGGGTCCCAGGGATCTCTGGAGGCCACTGAGCCAGGCCTTCGGGGGTCCCTGTGCAGGGATCTAATCGTAGTTGGGGTCAGCCTGGAACCGGCGTGGGGTGAGGTGGCTGGTCAGGTAGCGCACAGCCGAGCGGATGCCCTCCACCGTCCTCTGCTCCACTGTCTCCAGCACATGGGTGAGGGTGCGCAGGGCTGAGCCAGTCCCTGACATCAGCCCGGAGGAGAAGGCTGAGCTGACACTTCCCAGCAGGCTGGGGACCGAGCGCAATCTGGGCCCCGAGCTGTGCAGCAGATCTGCCACGGTGCTGTGGCCGGAGTCCAGGAAGCCTGTGGCTATGGCCATGCCCATGGTGGTCTCGGACCACACCAGGATGTCTGCCAGGGAGCTGATGGAGCCCTCGCCCCTGCCCAGCAGACTGGTCATGGAGCACATGTAGCCATTCTCCTCACTGGCCACGTACAGGCTGGGGTCCAGGGGCCTCCTCCCCAGGGCCACCTCGTGGGGGCCAGGCGACGGGGACACACTGCCTACTGGAGGTGGAGGGAAGAACCAAGCCTGCAGGTCTCCTAAGCCATCCACCACATTTGCCCCCATTGCCACTGGGGACTCATCAGATGGCAAAGCCTCAGCTTCAGGGTATGGGGCCTTTGGATGCTCAGCTTTCTCCTCAGCAGCCTTGGTGGTGCTGGCAGCCTGAGGGCCATGCTGGCTATTGACACCTGTGGTGACGTGGTCAGCATCACTCCCGACGGGCTGAGCCTCCGTGTGCTGGGTGAACTGTGGCTCAGCACTGGGGGCCAAGGGGGCTGACTCCGGCTCTCTCTCAGGAACACTCGCCATTTGTGACGTCTTGTCCTTACCCAGGAGGTGACTTGGGAAAACCACTAGACTCTGACTTGTCCTTGTGTCTTGAACCTGCGTGTCCCACGTTGGATTCTCAAGGCTCATAGATGTTTGCAGGGGAGTTGGGTTTTGGCTGGGAAGCAGAGGTGTGATTTTTCTAGGTGTCTTCTGGCCATGTTCTGGAACAACTGCACCCTTGTCTTTGTCTCCAGATGTTGACATGGCCTCGGGGGTGGCCGTCTTGAGGGAGGCCTGATCTATATCTTGCTGGTCGGTGGATGCGGCAGAGCTGCTCACCGCCAAGACATCTGTTGTGAGTGGGACCTGACCTTGGGGCCCTCCTGCTGGGCTGTCCTTAGACACGCTGTCAGCCACGCTGCCCAGGGGGGACCCGGGAGTGCCATGTGTGAGGCTGCTGGTGGAACCGGCCTCTCCCGAGGGCTCTCCTGGGGTCATCTATGCCCTTTGCTATTTGTGGCAGTTGGAGGGAGTGGCTGCAACCCAGCTGGGCTGAGTTGTCCAAGTGGTGAGGTCACAAGGGACTGTGGCCACTGGTGATGTCACAGGTACCCGTAGAGCAAGGGTCTTGAGCTTCTGGAGCAGCCTTCCAAGTGGGCTAAGTCTATGGGACAGTTTGTTGCCAACTTTGCCGGTACATAGGGAAAAAATGACAAATGTTCTGGAAAGGGCTGGAGGCATGTGTACAGGGGCAAGTACAGCCACAGGGCCACAGGAGTGAGAGTTGTGACTTTGACAAATGAGAAGGGATGCAGATGTTGATTTAGAACAGTGTTTATAAGGGACCCCTCCCGGCACCTCTCTGTCTATACTGGTGTCTCAAGACCCCAATTTAGGCTGGGCATGGTGGCTCACTCCTGTAATCCCAGCACTCTGGGAGGCTGAGGTCGGGGAATCACCTGAGGTCAGGAGTT